ACATCTTTAATCCCAGGATTAGGGAGGCAAAGGCATGTGAATCTTTGAATTTGACGCCAGTTGAATCTAAACTCGAGTTTCAGGACAGCAAGGGCTATACTGAAAAAAAAAAAAACCCTGTCTCAAAAAAAAAAAATGAAAGACCAGAGGAAAAAAGTATTATAGTATAGGATATTAGAAAGCATCTTTTGAATAATTCCAGTAAATATTGTAGACATCAGAAAAATGTCTACAATAGTCTTTGGTCTCCTCGGTTCAAGAAAAGCACTCCTGTTCATGGACACATGGCCTAACTGTTATTTTTGGTTCTTGTGTTTCCTGTGTTTGAGATCTGAACTTACAATGTTAGTGTCTGGCTCAGACCTCACCTTGTAGACCAGGCTGGACTGGAATGCACAGAATTCCACACACCTGTTTCTCCCAAGTGCTAAGATTAAAGGTGTGCACCAACAGAACTTTCTAACTGTTGTGTTTAACTTTGTTGTTTGTTGACAGCCAGAGGTGACTGTGAACTTTTCCCAGGAGGTGACAATGCCTGGACCCTGTCCTGGGGGCTTCGTACAAAGACTGGATGTTGCAGAATTTCAGCAGAATGGTTTCTGTGGTTGAGAAAGTTTGCTTGCAGTCTCCCTTGCTCCTCCTCAGGGTTTCTTAGCAAATTACTCAGCAAACGTGTGTCCCTTTGAGAGGTGCAAGGTTTCCATCATCTTGGGTCTATGATAAATTCAGAACCTCAGTAGTATATGATATTCTCATCCCAATCATTCAGTTCCATTTCTGCCCCCAGGATTTGACTGAGCTGTGACTGGAAGTGGCATTCAAGTTACACTCACTGCAAATGCTTCCTAGATATTTTCAGTATTGGGACTCTATATGACAGCTGCAGAATCATTTGTGTAATCCTGTATTTAGTTTCCTCTTCATATACAGAGCACAGTACTGTGTGAGAAATCCAGGGGCTTCCTGAACAATCTCTTTCTCATGTGCAGGGCTCACTGATCACCCTGACCTGCTCACCTGTGCAGCAGAACAAAGGGCCTTGGAAGGAGAGAGGAGATGGAAGCTAAGGATGCAGGTGTGGGAGAGGAGTTGGTGAAGGAGAGGAAGGGGTCAGGTGATGTGGAAGTGGAACAGGAAATCAGTTTTGCCAGATTCTGTTTCACTAGAAACAATTCTGTAATTCTCAGTAAGTCCTATATATGAGTCCCTCTTCAAAGCATCACTGGTACAGATTCTCTCCCAGTCTGTGGGTGTCTGTGTGCCCTGCTGGCTGTTTCCGTTGGTAAACAGAAACTCTTTGTTTTCATGTGGGTCCCATCTGTTGGTATCTGGGTCAGTTTGTGCGTTGATGGTGTTCTTTCTAACACGGAAGTCCTTGCCAATCTCAATACCTCATGGGTATTCCCTATGTTGTCTAGGTTTCTGGTTTTAAATAGGGTCTTTGATCTATTTTTAATTGATTCCTGTACAAGGTGATAGATAGGAATCTAATTTCATTATCCTACAGGATCCAACTTGGCAGGCACCATTTGTAGAAGAGGAAATACTTTTGTAATCTATCTTTTTAACCTCCCTTATTAAATATTAAGTAAGCATAGCTTTCTGGTTTTCTTTCTGCATTCTCTATCATATTCTGTTATCCTCCTGTCTATTTTCATGCCCATACCAAGACTGCCTTTATGACTACAGCTTTACACTGCAGTCCTATAATTCCACATCTCCTGTGGCACTTTTCTCAATTTTGCCCCCACTTTGTTGTGTTGTTTTGTTTTGAGGGTGCACATCCCATATCCACTTATGACCTGTAATATGGAAACTATTTCCTCTGTGATGTATGAACAGCAGCCAAAACAATTTTTTGTTGGGACTTGGTGGTCACACCGTATGCCTTTAATGCCAGCACTCTGTAGGCAGGTGGTTCTCTGAATTCAAGACTAGCCTCTTGCCAGGCAGTGGTGGCGCACACCTTTAATCCCAGCACTGGGGAGGCAGAGGCAGGCGGATCTCAGTGAGTTCGAGGCTGGGCTGGACTGACAGCCTCCAAAACAACACAGAGAAACCTTGTCTCGTAAAAACCAAAAAAAAAGAAAAAAAGAAAAAAAAAAGACTAGCCTCTTCTACAGAGTGTGTTCCAGGACATACACAGAGAAATTGTGTTTTGGGGGAAAATAAAATTGAAGCCCAACTGATATGGAGGATGGACTGTATTCTTACAAACTGTTGAGTGAGGCCTCATGGACTATACAGGCTGCATTTGTGGGATCTGTGCCAGTTCCTTGAATCATGGTTATAAAAATGCATATTGAAGCATATGGGCTGGTTGTAACAGCGTCTTAGAAACATGTAGAATTAAGAGAAACTTGCCAGGCAGCCTTTAATCCCAGCACTTGGGAGGGAGAGACATGAGGTTCTCTGTGAGTTCAAGGCCAGTCTGAACTACTGAGTGACTTCCAGGACAGCCTCCAAAGCTACAGAGAAACCCTGGGTCAAAAAACCGAGAAAGAGAGACAGAGAGAGAGAGAGGGAGGGAGGGAAGGAGGGGGAGAGAGACAGAGACAGACAGAGAGAGAGAGAGAGAGAGAGAGAGAGAGAGAGAGAGAGAGAGAGAGAGAGAATGAATATTGGTTCTTGATACTAAATAATTCTTTGTTATGAACACTACAGAATGTAGACATGGCTGGTACACGTTGCTTGATCTTGCCATGAAACTGATGCTCTTGAGTGTATATTCAGATTGTAGTTCACATGTTTTTCTCTTTGGTGTTTAATACCATGACAGTGATGATGTGTCCATGTGTTTGTTGATACCTGATATCTGTTTCTCTCAGTGGAATCGCTGCTCACATCACTCAACTCACTCGGTTAGGATGCTCAGTGGTAACTTCCCAAACTAAAGAGATCAGTATTTTGTTATTTCTCTTTTTCCCTCTCAAACAGGATCCCACTCTGCAGCCCTTTCTGGCTGGGACTCATTATGTGGCCCTATGTGGAATGCATCAGCAATCATGTCTTGGGGCATTGACTGATTGATGTGCAGAAGCCATCACATTTGATGCAGAAATTCCTCATGATTGCTTTGCTCTACTCAGCTCCTGTGACAGCAGTGGTGTAGTTGGAAGTTTTTCTCTGTCTCTCCAGGTCTTACTTAAGTGGTTTCTCTCCCGCCCACTGGTCCCCACAGCACTTATTAAGTAATCATTCTGAGGCTTAATAACAATTATAATTGTTTGGCCATAGCTCAGACATTACTAACTAGCTCTCACAATTAAATTAACCCATTTATATTATTCTATATTTTACCACAAGGTCCATGGCTTCATACCTTACATATTGCTTCCCAGTGGCTACATGGTGTCTCCCTTGTTTCTTTCCAAATCTTGGTTTGGATTTCTTGCCTAGCTCTATTCTGCCTAGCCATTGACCAAGTCAGCTTTATTTATCAACCAATAAAAGCAATACATATTCGCAGCATATAGAAGGATATCCCACATCATGATGGCTCTACTCCCCTACTCTGAAGCTGAAGTATTTTAAAGTAGAGATTTGGGGAATGGTCTCTGACCCATAGGTTTGTATTTCTATCAGTGATTCATGGCTCAGACAGAATGTCACCACTTTCCATTTTCAGAGAAGTAAAGGAAGAATCATAAACACTACTAACCTAAAATCTTTTAGACAATACACATAAGTACTAAAAAGAAAACATTGATAACTACAAATTTCAGACATAATAGCTCAGGTTTTCTCTTGGTCTATTCTGTGCTCTATCCTATTTGTAAAGCTCTGAAAGGAAGTATAATTCTCACATAATTTAATATATTCATTTACTCACAGTTCCTTCTGAATGCATCCACAGTTACCACACTTATATGTACATGCTGAGCTGCAACTTAAATATTATTTGATGTGTTTTTCGACTTTGATCAATTTTAACTACTCTTGAGGAGTGAAATAGTCTTCAAAACCTTCAAAAATACTCTTTTTGTCAAAGTTGGCTTGTGTATTATAAGAAAATTTTAGGGGCTGGAGAGATGGCTCAGAGCTCAGAGATTAAGAGCACAGTCTGTTCTTCCAGAGGTCCTGAGTTCAATTCCCAGTAACCACATGATGGCTCACAGCAGAACACTATACTAAATAAAGTTTTAAAAATCCTGTTATTAAAAAAATAAAGAAAATTTTAGACTATGTTAGATTTGGCTGATGTGGATTTTTCTACTTGTTAGTTGCCCAAATATTCTTATAAAATTTATTTCATGAGCTATCTAATATATTAATGTTAAAATTAGCAGTATGCAGTGTTGTTACACTACTTGTTACTGAGGGAAAAAATATAAAACTCATTGCCTATAATATCTGTCATGATATATGCCTTCCATACCTTCCCCATTGCTATTTAATGATCTGGCATCAGGCCTAGAGCTTAAACATCCTACGTGAGCCCGTTAGAATAGTCATGTAAGGTCCAAGTACAGACAGAATGGATTTTGTCAGTGTTTTAGCTTAATCTACAGGTACAGCATTTAAAGCACATTTCCTCATCCTGAATTTTCCTTCTGAGACTTGTATACTGTGATTCTATGGGACATAAACACCACATCCATAACAGATAACCAGACCATAAATGTGTGTTTTTTTCATGGATATGCTTGTGACAGTATTATTTCATCCTGTTTTCACAGAGTTAGACAATCCATTATACTGTGTAAAAGAGCATCTTTTTGAATAATTGTTTTTGCTCATCTACATCCCTAATTTCCTTAAGTGCTCTTATATCTAGAAAAGCATTCTATCTTGTACCATGTGGTCAAATGTACTTTTGTTTGTATGTTTGTTTTCTGGGACAGGACTTATCTGTGTAACAGCCCTAGCTGTCCCGGAGTTCACATTGTAGATCAGGCTGTCCTGGAACTTCACAGAGATCTGCCTGCCTCTTCTTCTTGAATGCTGGTATTAAAAGTGTGTGCCACCACACCCAGATAAACTGTCATTTTCCATTACAGGAACTGGTGACATTCAAGGATGTTATTGGACTTCTCCCGGGAGGAGTGGGAATGCCTGGACTCTGCTCAGAGAACTTTGTGCATTGATGTCATGTTGGAGAATTACAGCAACCTGGTCTCTGTGGGTGAGAACATTTTGCTTGTAGAATTCCTAACTCATCCTTTATATGTACTGACTTCATAGGTTGTAAAAGCTATGTTAAGCTGTCTTGGAAATAACAGGAGACTAGGGAACATTTGGTAGTAGGAAAGAACTTTTTTATGGTACCTGAAAAAAAAACCCTTTGATTCTTTTAAGCAATCCTTTAATCTTAAAAGGAACTAGGTCTTCTGAACTGTACTCTTCCTTTCTGAATCAAAGAGAATTACTAATTCCTCAGTTAATGGTTTCATCTTGAAGGATTTCATTCTGTTTTTGTGAGAATCCATACAATTATTAGTGAAAAGTTGTGAACTACTGAGTGCTAAATAGTTGCTTGTAGACTTCGTCAGAACTTAGTCATTTATCACATGTTTAATCTTGGAACAAGCCATGTTAATCTGAACTGTACTCATTTTCAGAAAACTATTGCATATATGATCCTGTCCATCACCATGTGAAGATTGAAAAGGAGTCTTGTCAGTGTGATGAGCTTGACAAAGTGTTTCATGACTCCTCCTCATGTGCACTTCATAGAACAAGTGAAACTACAGAAAACTCTAATAACTACACATGCAGTAGTCACAGGGATGCCTCTGTTGACTCATCAAACCCAGACAGACGTGAAAGCATATACACTGGAGAAGAACCTTGTCAATCTAAAGACTGTGAGAAATCTTTAAGTTTGTGTTCTAGCATTGCTCAAGATCAGAGATTCTACGCTGCAAAGAAATAGCACAGGCAGGGAGAATGATTCGTTTGTCTCCATATAAAGTTTTTTTGTGTGAATTTTCATTTATATTTTTGTTAATTATAAACAAGGGATAAATTCTTGATTGACCTTTGCTATTTCTAAATACTTCACATTTCAATCTCAGATATTTGTCAAAAAGGACCTAAACATACAGAGACATTACAAGAGGCCAAAGTGCATTTGTAACTTATTTAACATGGTATACCACTCAACCTCTGAAAGAGTCCTATAACAGACTTGTATGTGTGGAATTTTCACTGCAAGAAGCTCGTGAGTGGTCCAATATTCGAACAGAACCCTCCTCACATCTGCCCACCACATCTATTCCACTGCCACTGCAAGGTAGAATGCCTTCATCTGTCCAGTTTCTGAAAGCCTGGTGGTTGCACACTAAATCTTGTTCACAAAAAGTTTTTTTTTTAATTTATCAAGTCTGATTTGTCTTCTGCTGGGGGGGGGTCACTTTTCAGCTGATCTGGGACAGCCTTTTCTTCGGGCAACTAAAACTGATCAAAACTGGGGGGGGGGGAATAGTCATGCTTAGTTCCCTCTGATTATCCAGTACAGGAGAAGGCTCTGGCAACACTTCTCTAGCTTTGACATCTACTAGGATCCAATCTGAGATTCTGTTATCTTCAGTTTCAGCAGCTTTTCTCCATGAGCTCCTAATCTCAGTTATCAAGTTTTCTGGAGTTCGGGGAATTTGTCTCCTGGTTAAGAAAGGATTAGAAATTAGAGTGTCAATTAGCTCCTCTAATTTGACTTGTTTCTTTCAGAGAACTGTGGTGGGTCAGACAGAACTACTCTGGCAAATGCTTCTACTGGGCGATCTTGCTCTTTCTGGGATGGGTCTCTTTTTCTCTGACAGAAGTCCTCTGAACACACTAGGTCAGTATATCCTTTGCAATCTGATAAAGGAGAGTTCCACGTCAGAGAATCTGGCATGTTCTTAAACGTCATTATGTTTTTCTCTTTGGGAGTTCCTATAGTTGGATCCTTTTCCGGTAGTGTCGAACTGTTTGTATCTGCTGAGGAAGCACATTGTAAGGAGAAAGGTACCGGGCAGCTGGCTAAATCACACACACCTTCTAGGGTGTGGTCTTCTCTTTGCTACCACTGTCTTGGTTATGTTCTTTATGTGTGTCTGGAAGTGAAGCAGGATACTTTACTCTTTCCATGTGTTTCCTCTGACACAGGATAAAACGAAAGAGGGGACATGGGGGACAAAAGATCTACAGCTGAAGCCCCGCCTCTAGTTAGACGTAAAGGACACAGACCAAGAAATTCTTTCCACTCCTTTTTTGGGGGGGCAGGGATTCGAGACAGGGTTTCTCTGTGGCTTTGGAGGCTGTCCTGGAACTCACACTGTAGACCAGGCTGCTCTCGAACTCACAGAGATCCACCTGCCTTTTACTCCCTGGCTTTTTTCAATCTTTTTTCTTTTTTCTTCTTTCCTGTCCACTTCTTATGCCATTTTCTTTCAAGGACAGAATGTCTTATTGCAGAGACATTCTTTTTATTTTATGCCTCATATGTTTCCCTCTGAAATTTGGTTTCTTTTTCAAGGGAATGAAGGTCTACTGTCAAACTTGCTTGGTCAGCCTTACAATGTTATTATTTTGTTTACTTTTAAGACTTCATTTAACAATTGAATAATTGTCAAGGGGTTCAATTTTCCAGCCTCGCAAACATTTCCCATCTGCAACTGACATGTCTGCTCCTTGATTCTGTCAAGTAAGAGCCTTGGAATATTAACAGCAACATTAGTTCCATCCAAAGCACACCAGTTAACAAGACTGAAGACTGAACTAACACCTTCTCTCTCCTTTTCCAGAAACATGAGTATCTCATTCACTGAAGTCCACAAAGACTGAACCTTTTGAATATTCTCTTGTATATTACTCTGATCATCACCGGGATCCCTTCTTGTAATTTGGTTTTGCAGGACCACACATTCTGATTTCAAATTTCATACTTGCTTAATGACCAGATAGATGTACATTTTCCTGGTATTTTGGGGTTCCATATACAGTCTTTTGCAATAACCGATCTACACTGGAGAGACACCGTAGGAGAAACTGCCGGCCTGCCTAACCAGGCTGCAATCGCAGGCACTTCCTCCCTGAGCCAAGCTTGTCTCTGTATGCACCCAGAGACTTGCTGATGGAAGAAACAGCTTACAGGGATGGCGATGAGGATAGGACAATGCAGCAAAGTCAGTCACCTGAGCCAATGGGACCTTGGGAGGGAAGGGGGTATAAAGCAGCCTAACTTAGTAAATGAGTTTGCAGCATGCTCTGCTACTCACTCAACGCCCCGTGTGCCTGCCTGTGTGATTGATGCTGGATCTTCTCACCCCCTCCCCCAAGGGGTGTCCAAACAGGATCACCCGCAACAAGATAACACTAGTATAGGGAAATGTGGAGAAAGCTTCAGTACTGCCTCAAGCCTCAGTGTACAGCAGAGAATCCATACTGGAGAGACGGCTTACAAGTGCAGTAAGTGTGACAAGAGCCTTTCCCCGCTATTCCTCATTTAGAAGGCATCAGAAAATCGGGCGTTGGTGGCCCACGCCTTTAATCCCAGCACTCCGGAGGCCTCTCTGAGTTCGAGGCCAGCCTGGTCTACAGAGAGAGTTCCAGGACAAAGAAACCCTGTCTTGAAAAACAAAAAATAGAAAATTATAAAAGTTATACAAATGTAAAGAATGTGGTAAGTTCTATACTGAATTATTACATCTTAAAAGGCATTACAGAATCCATACTGGTGAGAAGCCACACAAATGTGAGGTATGTGACAAACCCTTTAATCAATGTTCAAGTCTAAAAACACGGTTCATACTGGAGAGAAATCTTACAGAAATAAGGAATGTGACAACTCTTTTACTAAGTGCTCAACTCTTAGACCACATCAGAAAATTCATACTGGAGAGACAAAGTAGTTTTAAATAATGTGACATAGCATTTACCCAGTATTCTATGCTTACAAATCACAATAGTATACATAATAAAAACATGAATAGCCCACACCTTAAATCCCAGCGCACAGGAAGCAGAAGCAAGAGGATCTCTGAGTTCGGAGTTTGAAGTCAGCCTAGTTTACAAAGCAAGTGAGTTTCGGGACAGCCAGGGGGCTACACCGTAAAACCTGTCTTGAAAAAGTAACAAGAAGAGAAACATAAACTTGTGGAATTTTTTTTAAGATTTATTTATTATGAATACAACATCCTGCCTCCATGTATGTCTGCAAGCCAGCAGAGGGCACCAGATCTCATTATGGATGGTTGTGAGCCACCATGTGGTTGCTGGGAATTGAACTCAGGACCTCTGGAAGAGCAGTCAGTGCTCTTAACCTCTGAGCCATCTCGCCAGCCCACTTGTGGAATTTTTTTAAGGGAGATTAAATATTAGAAAATATTACAAAGTTTATGTTAAAATAAAATTCTGCAAATGTAATTGTTTAAAAAAGCTTTTTTAGCTGGGCGTTGGTGGCGCACTCCTTTAATCCCAGCACTCGGGAGGCAGGAGCAAGTGGATCTCTGTGAGTTCGAGACCAGCCTGGTCTACAAAGGGAGTTCCAGTACAGGCTCCAAAGCAATACAGAGAAACCCTGTCTAGAAAAACCAAAAAAAAAAAAGACTCCCCCCCCCCTTTTTTTATGCGTATGGTTGCTTTGCCTGCTTGTAATACTGTGCAATACATATACACCAGTACTTGTAGAGGTCAGAAGAGGGCATCAAATCCCCTGATGCCGTGGTTACAGACAATCATGTGCTACTATATGTGTGTTGGCAATTGAACTCCGGTCCTCTAGAAGAGATGCCAGGGCCACTAACCAACCCATCTCTTTAGCCCCTGGAAAAAGATATAAAAACATCTCATTCATTAGCCAAAAATTCATAATAATGCCAGGAATGGTGGTACATGCCTTCAATCGCTGAACTCTGGCGGTAGAGGCAGGTGGGTCTTTGTGAATTCAAGGACAGTCTGGTCTACAGAGAAAATTGCAAGACAGCCAGGGCTATACAAAGAATTCCCAAAAATCTTCTAAACCCAAAACCCTAGAGAAAAAAAAGGAAAGAAATCCCTGAGAGTATTGTGAATTCATCTTGAAGTACTGAAAAAAATATGCAAGTATTTACTCCAAACTCTAAAATGATGCAACTTCCATTAACTGCCAGTAGACTCTTAAGAGGGAAAGGAGACTCTTAGAACCCTCCATCAGCCATGATGAAACGGCAACTACCCAATCTCCAGCTATTGCTTAATGTCAGTATTACCTTGCCCACTACCAACTGCAAGAGGAGACTTCTTCACCAAGGTTGAGAGTAGTACAAATTGATAATTATAAACATGAACATTTAGATGACAGATTAACAACATGATCATTAGCAAACATCAATGGGTCTTTCTTCCTACAATAATTCCCAAGCCATAGTTTTTGACAATGTTTACAGTACTAGGCATGAACTGCCCTCTACAGAGCAGACCTCAAATCCAATCAGGAAAGAGGTTGCTTATGCTCAATAGCAGTCATACCAGCATCACAACTGTGCATACATCTTGGCTGGTAGGTTTGTGTTGCAGGTTGTAGGGTACAGGGGTGGACAAGACCATTGACATCTTTTCTTTGCAGTCCTGTGAAACCTAGCCAGCAGCAAGATTGCTCTCTCTCTCTCTCTCTCTCTCTCTCTCTCTCTCTCTCTCTCTCTCTCTCTCTCTCTCTCTCTCTCTCTCTCTCTCCCTCTCTCTCCCCTAAAGTGTTTGGTGTCTTCAGTAACACCATGAACCTATGGGGGCCAAGCAAGAGTACGGGTTATGACCTGTTTTGTTTGAAGCAACTATGGGGCCGCCCTGACAAATAAGTCTTATGCAGATGACCAGTACCTGGTACACAGAGTTCCATTTAATAGTCCTGGTACCTGGGACACCTCCCAAGATTTTTAAATCGTGTTTACTATTAACTTGTAAAAGAATGAATTTCATGAGGTTTCTTCATACATCCTTACTTTCTTCCTCCTTTCTTTCTGCCCCACTTCCCAGTTAAACATTTAGCACACAGCACCCAGTGTAAAAGATTATAGAACATATGTTCTAACATTTCTTACTGTATTTTTTACTGGGGTTGCAAAATGGTAGGTTCCCAGGGAGCGTCTTCATGGACATCTCATTCGAGTTGGTCTTTCAGCAGCCTGCTCGCCACTATTTATTTGAATGAGTCTTCCCACAGGATCCCCACTCTGTAATTTCATATCACCTATATTCTACTATCCACCCTCTCTTCCCACTCCCTGCCTTCTACATGTAGTCTTACTGGAACACAAAACAAAAATGACTGGTCATTTGTATCAGCTTCCTCTGTGATTAAACCCTTCCTTCTTGAAGGAAACTCCTTAAAACACAGGCTATCCAAAAGAAAGGTAACATGCACATGCAGACAAAACACCCATCTACATAGTAAAAAGGGAAATGGGATGCTCTAACCAAAGGTGAAATATTTCATCATGCAGAGAAAGTCTCGAAGCTCAGAAATAGACACCTTAAGAGCTTCAGGAAGTTGCAGAAATTGGCAAGACCCACTGGTGCCCTTCTGCATATATAATCAGTAAGAGCTGCTGACACAGTCAGACAGGCTGAGCTGCGCAGAAGATGCTCACACCAGCCATGAAGCAGACACCAGTCGAGCCGCCTGGACCAGGCAAGACGAGAAGCTGCCTGGAGGAGGTAGTGAGTGGCTTGAAAGACACTTCAATCTCCCTTGAGCCGCAGTCAACCTGTGCATTGATCTCCAGGTTTCCAGTTTCATTAGTTACCCTCACAGGGTGATGCAGCTGTCATTGAGTACCATGTGCTCCTACGAGTAACCCTCACCCACGCTCTTGTCAGTCTCCCCAATAAAACTCACTGATTCACTTAGCTTTATCGATGACTCAGTGGTTGAGAGCACTGTCTGCTTTTTCAGAAGACTCACTTTAAATTCCCAGCACCCTCACATGGCCACTCAATCGGTATTGTTAGCTGCCGGGCATCCAATGTCTTCTTCTAGTCTCTTCAGGTACCTTTGGTGCAGAGGCGTACGTGCAGACAAAAACTTCTACAAAGAAAAAGAAACTTCATTGGTTTACCATGTTAGACTTTGTTGGTTTCCCAATTTTGGTTTGCCCTTGATTCCTTACCTGTGATAAGTAGATGTTTGTCATTGTTTCCACAGGAATAGTGTCACACATTTGTTCTGTAATTGGGAGTCACAGAGTAGTTTTCTTTCTTTCATTCTTTCTCTTTTTTTTGAGAGTATCTAGACTGATTTCAAAAGTTCACTTTCTAGTTCTCATTCCCAAGGTGTATGGCCTCCTTCACATACATTTATGCCACTGTTATCATTTCTATTGATGATTGACATTGTGTCTAGGGTGAGAGGGAAGCCTATAGGAGTCCTAGTTTTCTGGGTAGGAATATAACCTTTTATCTTTGGTTAGGTTTTAGTTTGGGCTTGCTGTTTGCTTGCTTTGTCTTTTGTTTTTACTGTTTCAATTTTGAGGTTACTATATAATTATATTATTTCACCTTTCCTTTTCCTCCAACAAATCCTCCCTCCCATACACATCTCCCTGATCTCTTTCAAATTCATGGTCTACTTTTTCATTAATTGTTATTGCATACTGATATATCCATGTATGCACATACATATTCTCAATATAACCTACTCTGACCATATCATGTTACTTGTATGTATGTTTTCTTGGCTGACCATTTGGTATTTGATAACCAGCTGGCATACTCTTCTCTGGGGAGAGACTATTTCTCCTGCTCCCAGCACCCTCAGCTGTATGCAGTTCTCTGTGTAGGGTTGGGTTAGGGTTAGGGGACTTTTCTCCATTCACTTTGACATGTCCATTGACATTATCGGTGTTCAGCTCCCATTTGGGTGGTCATGTTGGTGAGATTTCTAGGGTATGACTCCTGGCATTACCAGGAAAAACAACTTCACAGCAAACTCCCTGATCCTCTGACTCTTACAATCTTTCTACATTCTCTTCAAAATTATTCCTTTAGCCTTAGGTGCAGATGTGTTTTGGAGATGTAATCCATTGAGTCTGGCCTCCACAACTCTGCATTTTATTAGTTGTGGGTTTTTTTTTGTTTTGTTTTGTTTTTTTTTTTTGTATTTTTTTGTAGTGGTTTCTATTGCAAAGAAGTTTTTTGATGAAGGGTGAAGACTATGCTTATTTCTGGGTACAAGGGAAAATGTTTAGATTCTTGTTAGGGATTATGCTGGCTTTAGTGAAGTGGTGATTGTATGTTCTCCTAAGATTCATGCCTTTATCAGCACCAGTAAGTAGGTAGCTAGACTTTCAGCCCCAGACATGGTTTCCCTTTTGTTAAGAGGACCCTTAATTCCAATTAGAGAGCTGTTTGTTACCACGAAGGTGTGCTTGCTACTACTGCAACGGGCTGACCACTGACTTCTGGAGACACCTATTTCTTTTCAAAATCCAAGTTCCTGAAATGTCTCTCCTCTCCAAGTCACAGATGCAGTATTTGGTTTTGGCTTGTGATGTTTGTGTTATTATTATTATTATTATTATTATTTATTTATATTTGGTGTGTGTGCAGCCCAGGAGGCCCGCAGTCAAGTCGAGGTTAGGCTGCCTGTCTTTTCTCTGAAGGTTTCAGAACTCACTGTGGGGTCAGACCCCGGGGTGCAGCGTCCTCCCGGATGCAGCTCTGGTCTAGGCTGCAGCAAGCGTGCGTGGAGTCTTTGCAGAGCGGGTCCAGGGCAGCCTGACAGCTGCAGCTGCGGTGTGCATGGCAGCCAGAGAATGAAGGGGGGAGGGGCGGTCCGGTGGGGGAGGGTCACTGGCTTAGATCACAGGAGCCATGGATGATGGAGAGAAAAGAATGCAGGCTGCTGCGAAAGCCTGGAAAACTCAACGGGTGGACCAGGCCGGAGGGTTTACGTAACCGGAACCTGGCTATGATGGGCGGGTGCGGAGGCGGCTCCATGAGCCACAGGCGGGAGGGGCCGGAAAGCCCTCCATGCTCTCGGAGAGGTTTCGGGAAAAGCGTTGTGTGCAGCCAGTGGTGACGGACAGCGGCCGGAGTCTCGCGGGGACCTGGAGACTCCGGAGCCGCAGTGTCCGCGCGGGGCGGCCTGGGAAAGTCAGCGTCAGCAGCAGCGCAGTGGCGGGAACCACAGCCCGGCGGCCCTGGAACCTCCCAGGTCAGAGGAGCCGCGGGGAAGAACTGGACCTGTGGGGTGGCGATCAGCCTTTCTGCTGCTCATAACGGTACCGCTCGCGCTCTCACTTCTGATGCAGGGCTAGCACCCTTGACGGTGAGTTCGAGATCGTATAGAAACCGGGCAGGTGCTGATTTTTAATCGTTGATCTGCGGTTTCCAGGATACTCTCAAAAAGAGCCTGTCGCATAGAATAATTGAATTTGTGCGTTAATGTTTGCAAACGTTTTTTTTTTTTTGCTGTTGTGCAAACACACCAAAACTGTTCACTTTTGAATTCACTTACTAACTCCCCTGACCTACCTCTTCCTTTTTTTTTTTTTTAATGACTTGGAGACCTGATGGTCCCAGAGAGCTTGTTAAATAAATATCAGCCCCATAAGGAATAACCGCAGATTTTTTATTTAGTTCCAGATTATATATATCTCAAGCTACACAGTTATGATTGCAAACCTTCGCATTTACTAACTAAACATTTTGCTTACCATTAATGTTCTGTTTGAAATGCATACGCGCTGATGTAAATATAACAAGTGCATGTTGTTTTTTCTTTTTCTTTCTTTCTTTTTTTTTTTTTTTTTTTTTTTTTGAGACAGGGTTTCTCTGTATTGCTTTGGAGCCTGGCCTGGAACGCGCTCTGTAGACCAAGTGCGTGTTCCTATGCTGAGGTTTTTAAGGCACACCTCAGAGCCCAGAAATGTACGGTATGCATGCTGAGTGTGAGGATATCAGGTCACGCTGTTTTCACAGTTAGAAAACAGAATGTATATCAGGCCAAATTTAGAAAGCGTCTTTTCTGGTGTAAGAAAAGCGCCCCGAGCATGGACAAATGGCCAAACTGTTGCCTTTTATTTCAGGGTTGTTTACGCTCAGTGGAGAGACTGTGGACTTCTCTCAGGAAGAAAGGAAACTGTCTGGACCCTGCACATAGGGTTTTGTGCTGATACTGATTATTACAGAATTGCAGCAGTCTGCTGTCTGTGGGTGAGATTATCTTGCTTGCACTCTCCCTTGATCCTCCTCCGGGTTCCTAGGAAAATCGCTCTACGTGTGTGTGTGTGTGTGTGTGTGTGTGTGTGTGTGTGTGTGTGTGTGTGTGTGTGTGCTGTGTATGTTTGGGCTTGGTTCCTAGGAAAATCGCTCTACGTGTGTGTGTGTGTGTGTGTGTGTGTGTGCTGTGTCGCTCTACGTGTGTGTGTGTGTGTGTGTGTGTGTGTGTGTGTGTGTGTGTGTGTGTGTGTGCTGTGTATGTTTGGGCTTGGTTCCTAGGAAAATCGCTCTACGTGTGTGTGTGTGTGTGTGTGTGTGTGTGTGTGTGTGTGTGTGTGTGTGTGCTGTGTCGCTCTACGTGTGTGTGTGTGTGTGTGTGTGTGTGTGTGTGTGTGTGTGTGTGTGTGTGTGTGCTGTGTATGTTTGGGCTTGAACCACACAGAGTGAAGTGAAATCCTCCGAGGAAGAGACAAGAGTTTCATGAAATTTCATCTGTTCTTCATGGTTGTCCCTTTGAGGGGTGTAAGGTTTCTTCCATGCTTGTTCCGTGATTAAAATCAGACCAGTGATACAGCTGCATTTTCGACTTTGAGTCCTGATTGAGCTAGGATCAGAAGCAGGATTCAAGTTATGGAAACTCAAAATGTTCCCTAAATATTTTAAGTGTGTTGACGATGTATGACAGCTGGGGGAATCATTTGTAGAAGCATGTGTTTCATTTTCTCTGTTTCTACTGAGCACAGGACTGTGTAAGAAATCCTGGTACTTACTGAAGAATCTCATTCTCATGTGCAGGGCTCATACTGCTCAGCCAGACCTGCTCACCTGTGGGGGAGAACAAAGAAAGAGCCCTGGGGGGGGGGAGATGGGAGGGAGGGAAGGGAGAGAAGGAGGGAAGAGAGAGAGGGAGGGAGGGAGGGAGAGAGAGAGAGGGGGAGGGAGGAAGGGAGAGAGAGGGGGAGGGAGGGAAGAGAGAGGGAGGGAGGGAGAGAGAGAGAGAGAGGGAGGGAGGGAGGAAGGGAGAGACAGAGGGGGAGGGAGGGAAGAGAGAGAGAGGGAGGGAGGGAGGAAGGGGGAGGGAGGGGAGAGAGGGAGGGAAGAGAGAGAGAGAGAGAGAGGGAGGGAGGGAGGAAGGGAGAGACAGAGGGGGAGGGAGGGAAGAGAGAGAGAGGGAGGGAGGGAGGAAGGGGGAGGGAGGGGAGAGAGGGAGGGAAGAGAGAGAGAGAGAGAGAGGGAGGGAGGGAGGAAGGGAGAGAGAGAGGGGGAGGGAGGGAAGAGAGAGAGGGAGGGAGGGAGGAAGGGAGAGACAGAGGGGGAGGGAGGGAAGAGAGAGAGAGGGAGGGAGGGAGGAAGGGGGAGGGAGGGAGAGAGGGAGGGAGAGAGAGAGAGAGAGAGAGAGAGAGAGAGAGAGAGAGAGAGAGAGAGAGAGAGAGAGAGAGGGAAACAGAACAATAGCAAAGGATCCAGGTATGGTGGAGGGATTGGCCAGGGGTTCGAGTAACACATGATCAATTTTGCCACATTCTGTTTCACTAGAAATGATTCTGTATGCTTCCACTGAGAAAGATCTTGGAATATTCCTATCAGGGGTTCTGGAAGATTCTCCATGTAAGAATTAGTACTAGTAATAATTATAATAATTTTATTTGACTTTGCATGTGAGCGATGCTGTCCCTCTTTCGTTCACATGGCTGATTGTGTCCTCATGTGAATATTAAATGGTTTTTATTTCTATGATTTTGATATGCTGCTTAATCAGGACACTCGATGCCTCTAGGTTTTTCCTCCAAAGTTTTGGAGCTTTTTTTTTGCCTTGTCTTTCAGTTCTGTATCTTTTAGAGTTAATTATTCCCTTTCTAATATAATGCCAGCAGGAATTTGACAACAAATTGCTTATTATCTCTCCAGAGTATTAAACTCCCATCTATTGCTTTCCCATTGCTACTTACTCCCTGCTGTCCGTCTTCATGACGGCACGCTACAGTTTGCAGCAATATCATTTTTTTAAATATTTTATTTATTTATTGTGTATACAGCCTTCTGCCTGCATGCCAGCAGAGGGCACCAGATCTCATTCAAGGTGGTTGTGAGCCACCATGTGGTTGCTGGGAATTGAACTCAGGACCTCTGGAAGAACAGTCAGTGCTCTTAACTGCTGAGCCATCTCTCCAGCCCCCGCGATATCATTTTTTAAATGCATTTTAAAGTCACCTCTAGGCTTGATCCTTCTCTCATATTTTTTGAAGTATGTGATTTCTTACAAGTTTGTGCATTTTGGGATCATTTTCTCTGTTTCTATTAAAAAAAACTGTAAGATTTGGGTACTAATTGCTTAGAATCTTTATAGTACACAGACCTCCTCTGCATTGTCTTCCCATGTGTGAATGAGGGCATGCTAGCAATGAGTAGTGACTCATTGTCTTTTAATGTATTTTGTTTTCTACCTGCAGTTGGTGTTTGTGCCCCAGATTCTTAGAGATGTTTTTTAAAAAACATTGATATTTACTAATTTTTAAATTTTGGTATTTTTAGGACACTGGACAGATTTTCTTCTGTTTTTTTGGTTTGTTTTGTTTTGTCTTTTGAGATGGGGTTTCCCTGTAGCTTTAGAGCCTGTCCTGGAACTCGTTCTGTCGACCAGGCAAGGCTCCAACTCACAGAGATCCATCTGCCTCTCCCTCCCAAATGCTGGCATTAAAGATGTGCGCCACCATTGCCTGGCTTTGGAGGGTGTTTCCTGCGGTTAGAGAACTCAGCCTGAAAATCTCCTAGTGTTGTGTGGATTATTCTCTGGAAACGCGCTTGGCATTAGTGGTTTACTCTCTGATTTCCTTAGGCATCACTGGATAGTGGATGTCAAGCCTCCCTGCATGGCTGCCTGTTGCCTCCCTACAGTTCGCATTGGTTGCTTCCTGTATTTGGAAACTGAAATGTGTCCATATTGCATACAGTCCTGTTTGTCAGTTTGTGCTTTTCGTGTCTCAGTGATGTGCTATTCAGTTCAGGGACAAGTCCCCTGCATCCACATACGGACGTGTTTCTACTTATTTTCCTGTGTGGATAGATACTTTTCCCAACACCATTGGTGGGCGAGGTTGCCCGTTGTGCAACAAGTGTGTGGTATCTTGGTGGCATTGGCGTGGTCTCATTGCTGTTGGTCTAGTTCTCCCGACTGCTGCTGTATTGCTTTGAGTTCTGTGTGTCTGTTGTTCTGTCAACTCCCACGGTGCTGTTGGTCGCATGGCTGCCGTGTCATCTAGAATCAAAGCCGGGACAACAAAAGCTCAGCCCCGTGGGCTGCTCTGTACTGCCAAGGTCTCAGTTCTTCCATGGACATTTGTAGGATTCTCTGTGCTGTACCTGTGAGGTATGTCATGGGGAGTCCCATTGTCGTGGGCTTGAGTTAATCTTACCAGTCTCTTTAATCATCGCAGTGCCGTGTCCCATTCTGTGTGCATGGGAATCCTTTCTGTCTTCCAGCGTTTCATTCGGCTCCTTCTACAGATTAAAGAGTTCACTTTAGAGGTCTTCCTTTTCCTTTTTTAGGTTTTTTGTTTCTCCCACCCCCATTAAAAATTTTTTTTGAAGCCGGGCGATGGTGGCGCACGCCTTTAGTCCCAGCACTGGGGAGGCAGAGGCAGGCGGATCTCTGTGAGTTCGAGGCCAGCCTGGTCTACAGAGTGAGTTCCAGGACAGCCTCCAAAACAATACAGAGAAACCCTGTCTCGGAAAAAAAAAAAACCAAAAAAAATTTTTTGAGCCAAGTGTGGTGGCACACGTCCTTGATCCCAGCACTCAAGAAGCAGAAGCAGGTGGATTTCTGTGAGCTTGAGGCCAGCATGGTCTACAAAGAGGGTTCTAGGATAGCCAGGATTGTGTAAACAGAGAAATCATGTCTCAAAAGAAAAAAATGTTAGTTTTTAAAAATTTCCAGTTTTGGTTCTGTAAATAGCGGTAATAATAGTACAAAGCTTTTCTTTTTTTATTAATTAATTTCTTTCCCATTCCAGTCACCGTTTCCCCTCTTTATATCCTTTCCTCCCAGTCCTTCCCCCCAACTCTCCCTTTTCCCCCTTTCCCCCAACTTTCCCACTCCTCTTCCTTCCTCTTCAAAACAGGGCAGGCCTCCTATATATATCAACCAGCCTTGCATATCAAGTTGCAGTGAGACTAGGCACTTCTCTTCTGTTAAGGCTGGATGAGGCAACCTGATAGGAGGAATGGGTCCCCAAAGCAGTTAACGGAGTCAAAGATAGCATCTGCACTCACTGTTACCAGTCCTACAAGAAGACAAAGCTACACAGCCGTAACGTGTGCACAGAGGACATAAGTCAGCTCATGCGACTCTTTGGTTGGTGCTTCAGTCTCTGTGATCCGCACAAGCTTCTCTTATTGGACTGTATTTCCTATTTACATTTTTACAGAGTTTTGTGATGGTTAATTTTGATCTTTAATCATTGCCTGCATGTATGTCTGTGTGAGGGTGTCAGATTCCCTGGAACCGGAGCCATAGACAGTTATGAGCTGCCATAACTCTCTCTCTATATATATAGAAGAGAGAGAGAGAGATAGGAAGGGATTTTATTACAGGCTGCTGTCCATCTTACCCAACCAATGGAAAGTCTAAGAACCCAGCAGCTGCTCAGTTCATAAGGCTGGGTGTATCAGCCGGTCTTCAGTATACACCGGAATCCTTGAGTAGGCTCTAAGCCAGGGAAGGAATGGACTTGCCAGTGAGAACGAGGACAAGAAAGCAAAGAGATAAAGCTTCTCTTTCCATGTCCTTACACAGGCTGCCAGTGTAAAAGACAGTTTTCCCACCCCCAAAAAACTCGCATTGAAAGGAGACTGCCACTTCAAATGATTTAAGCGAGGAAAAAAAAGTCCCTCCCAAATGTGCCTAGCCACTTGGGTTTTAGTTAATGCCTGATGTAGTTTGGTTGGCAACCAAGAGTAGCCATCAGATCCAAATTCTATTCCTGCGCATCAGATTC